GGACCTGTATCTCCTCCCGTGGTACGCTACGCTTCTCGTAATCAGGGATGGGGTAGAGGATTGGCTCTTAGCTCTTTTTAAAAGCTTCAACCGTCATAAACTAGTCACAGAATTGGTAAACATCCCTCTTCATAAATATAATGGTTGTGCATGCATGTTTGCAAGGGACGCGGGTTACATCCCATGCGCGGCACGTGCATGTTTTATTGTCAAGATCCACTTTACAAGTTTTATGAGATTGTACCTCAAATAATCCTGTATGAGACTGACGCACATCCAATGGACGCCCATTTTCCATGTTCTCTTTGAGGACAAGTTCAGCTTTAGGACAAAGAAATCCATTCCAACTTTCAGCCATTAATCATCGCTCATTCATGCGAACCATAATCTATTTACGTATGTGTTCTACGAGTTGTAGTATCCGTAGAAGCCTAGCCTCATATATCCATTTGTTGAATGACTCTGCAACATTTGATGTAACGTGACCATATCTGGAACATAACAGTGAATTCATCAAAAATACTGAGTTATTTGTCATGTCAGTTCTAGCTGAGTAGTTGTTAGTGCTAGCTTCTTTCGTGATAGTTCTAGATGGTACCCAGTTAGTTCTAACTCCAGCTAACTGGGTTATTACCCATGTTCTATTACAAGTGTTTGGTATATCACCTATGTTAGTTCCGACTAGGTTATAGTTAGTTCCAGTGTATCCATTCATGTCTAATTTAGTTAGGCAAACAACTAACTGAAATAAGAAATGACATAGCTTATAAATTACCTAATTCCGGGGAAAAATGCGTTAGCCCAGTTCTCTGGAGCGTAGTTCATGACAATATTATAGGCTCGTTCCATCTAGAGTGTATAGCATCCGGAAAATATTCTCTGACTGCTTCTCTGATCCCCTTATCCGCATCAGATATTATAACTAGCTTGTGTGGAGGGTTGTATGGATCTGGCCTTTCGTAGAGAATAGACCATAAACCTATAATAGAGTTAACAATGAATGAGTTAGAACTAGCATGAACTGTAATAGAACTAACATGACCCATGTTAGAACTAACCTTGTAAGAACCAATTCCAGTTGACGTTATTTTCTTGATCGCAAATGCAATAGGCTAATGGAAATATCCCCTAATTTCCATCATATGCCACGGCGCTGAGGAGTATACCTTTGAATCGATCTTTCAGAAAGGTATCATCCATAAATATAAGTGGTCTACAACCGTTCAAAAAACCATTTATGCAGGCGGCATAGCAGATGAATAGCTTTGAAAACCTCCCCTCGTGTTGTTCAACATGAATGTAGCTACCTGGGTTTGTCTTCTTAACCTCTTCTACATACCTAGACCATTGAAGATTATATGTTAGGATCAACATAAATGAAATTAGTGTCTATATTATAGATATTATCTTCTTTTACCATCGTAATTGATCGTAGGACTCATGGGCATCACCATATAGTTGCTCTTGTGCTCTTTCTTTACCCCACCATATCTTGCTATAATCGACCCTAAGCCCATACGAAGTTAGTAACTCCTTTTGTACGTTGATAGGTCGTAAGTCTGGTCGGACCTTTAACGTGGGTAATACTTGAATCGCAATGAATTGTTGTGACGCCCTAGATTGACCTGCATTATTGCCAAAATTCCCACAAGTGTGGTTGTCCACGAAGGTTTTGATTTGAAGTCTGTTCTCATTTTGTGTTGGAGAGGCAAATAACATCCACGGGCAATTTTGGGCTTCCTTGATCCGACAAAAGAACTCGAATATGCTTCAGTTCATTCTTAGCAAACAAGTACTCGAATTTTTTTGGCCATGGAATAGTATAGTAAAGCCAATCTTAATTCCTTCGCACTCTCAAACCGTTATCCCTCACCGGTTAAAGCAGTGTGCCACCAAGCAGGAATCCTCTCTGATCTGCTAATCATGTCATCAATCATCGGAACATTATCTCCAGAAGGATTATCATTGGGGATCCTATCTGAAACACATGTGGGCGTCGACAACGACGGACCACCCTCTATGCTTTTTGAATTCATACTACTGGTAGCGCTGCAAATTTAAAGAACATGAACAAATGATCATAAACTATACAATAGAAACATCAACAAATAACACAAATAAGGAAAAGGCAAAAAAACATCAACTGCTTGTGTTATAACTGTCGTGGAATCCAATTGAACTAACAAGATTTCATTTAGAACTAACATGAAAATGTTTAGACCGAACATGAAGTCACTTAGAACTAACATGTTCGACCTAACACAGTTTGAACTAGATCTCACCGCAAATCGATTAGAACTAACAATAAGTCTATTGGAACTAACAACTAATAGATTATAGTTAACAATAAATCTATTAGAACCGACATGTTTAATACATTCACGTAGGACAAGAACTAGCATGAACCTCCTTCATATGAATACAGTTGTAACTAGAATTCACAGCTTATAGAACTGTCATGAAATCGATTAGAGATAACATACACCCAAATCCGAGCTATAATCCAATGAACTAACATTAACTGATATTACATGAATATTGGTCTTAGCATCAAAAAAATCCTTGCCCCTACATGTCTTGTCGAACTTGAACGGCGCTGTGGACTTTTGAAGAATCCTCTTTTTCCTTGAAAGCTTGCATGTGAACCTCCTTTAATCCTCTGTTATGGCAATGCTCCACCATAGATGACAGATCCCCATCGTTCTCAATAGGAAATTTAAAGCTTTCATTCGTTTCATCTTTGAATGACAAACTTAATGATTCATATGGAAGATCTAACCTATCTGACACATCAAATTTTAGATCAAGAATGGTGGTTGAAGTATTGATCTTCATGAATACTGCTCTATCACCCGAAGCTACGATGCATGTGATGTCCTTTTCAGCCATTATGAAGTGGAGAGAAGAGTAATGGAGAGAATTTTGGTCTGAGGAATAGTAATGGAGAGAATTTTGGTCTGAGGAAGAGTAATGGAAGAGTAATGGAGAACTAGATATTTATTGCTCATGATTAGGGCTGGGCATATTCGGTTCGGATCGGTTTTAAGCTCAATCCGCATCCAATCCGAATTTTTTGAATTCTCAAAACTCTCATCCAGATCCAGATTTTTTCTCCTTCATCCGAATATTCGGCCCAACCGAAATTCGGATCGGTTCGGATCGGTTTCGGTTTTGGACCGAATTAATACTATTTCACAAAAATCTGCCCACACCTGAGATCATTGCCTATTAATTTCTGATGAAGTATCATTATTTATCCATTTTGTCTACTTAACTTTTTCCCCCAAACAATAAAATGTGGAGCTTGTTTGAAGTAACACCATTGACACAGCTAACAAAAAACCGAAATCAGTGAAATGAACGCAAACCATATCAACAAGTACATATGGTTACGTAATATTCAAATATTAATTAACTATAATCAAAAGGTTATCTTTCATTTCTTGGAAAACAACTTAACATGCCTCTAGTAGAATTTGAAAGCTTATATGAGGTTTCACCGATTTTAATGCGGGCATATACGCTAGCAGGCCCAATGAAAAAGGAACTATACAATATAAACATGTATGTAAACATAACAATCAAATTACCGAGCAATTATATAGCTTAATGTTCAAGTGATGACTCACTAATAAGAAAGCTATTTCATCCGACTTCGTCCGAACCAAAAGTCCTTTCCATTTTGACCGAATTCCGAACGACGAAGTCCTTCCCATTTTAAGCAATATGAATATCCGACAAAGAACGAATTAGAAAATTCGGTTCGGTTTTTTTTCGGGCGGTTCAGGGGTTCAAACCGGATCCAAACCGGTTTAATTCGGTTCGGGCGGTTTAGAGTCTTCTTCTCATCCATTTAATCCGGTTCGGTTAACCGACCCGCTTTTTCGGGCTGTTTTTTCGGTTGAACCGGTTTTTTTTTGGTTTTTGTCCACCCCTACTCATGATAGAGGGAAAAAGGGGGGAAATTTCCCTCTATTTCTTACAGTAGTTTGCATTTAATGGGATGTGACGAAGAGTGGTAACGAAGCGTCTGGGGACGAAGGAGAAGGGCAAACTCGGGTTTTTTTTCAAAATACAATGCCTCTTTTGTATACAGCTGACGTGGAGGGCCCTAGAAATATTAAAGGCTGCTTTTTGGGGCTTATACACAAGGGGGAAAATACAAGGGGCCTCGTCACATGATTTTTCAGCTTTTGGGGCCCCGACACATTTTTCCCTAATTCATTTATGATCTTCTTGCAAGAAATTCGAGGTTAAAGTTATATAGGTAACAAGAAATAATTACATGGATATTTTAGGTTTAGTTGCGGGTAGACGCTTGTACTACTGCCCAATTGCCGATAGATGCCTTGCTGCTGTATTTGTGTGGGTAAATAGTAAACATTATTGCCCAAGTGCGCACGTACCGCTAAGCGGTGTTCTTCACTCCTAAAAGAGTCGATAAAGTTCAGTACATCCGCACTGATAGAGCTAAAGAGGGTCTATCCGCAATTGGGATATAGTACATTGGGTCTATTTGCAATTAAACCTATTCTGGTAAAACAGTAATAAGAGGGGGATAAAGGACTAGTAAAAGGTACTTATTGTTGTGTGTTAGGTGAAGGATATAAGGTGAATTCAACTTTGACTGAGTACAACCTAATTCATCTCTGCATTATTCTATTTTTAATCAGAATAAAAAAAAATTTTAAATCAATAAGCTATAACCCGGTCATAAGCAAGACGTAGTAAGCTTACATTAAGTTACTTAAGTTAAACGATGATGCTTTGACTTTATTGTCCGAACATAATTGGTTATATTATTAAGCACATAAACTCGGTACGCTCTTTTAGTGAAATATCAATTTAAATCCCGTTCAAGTGTAGATCTAATATATCCATATCAATTTCAGGGTATGTAAGTGATAAAATAGTGGAAATTGTGGCGTACCAAAAAATTGACATAAAAAACCCCTCCGCTTCCAGCTCGCAAGGAGCCGAGTGGGCTCACCTAACCAAAAGATCCCCATCCTTCACGCACAAAACTCGAGACTGCTGCGACTGAAAACACGATCCCAAAGTTCCATTTGATAAAACGATCAAAAAAAATCCCACATTCCCCAAATGAGGAAGCCCTCCTTCCCCCTCAAAACCCTAGACCCCTCCCTCCTCTCGATCTCGAGGATCAAGCGCTCCTCCTCGTCTTCGTCGTCAATGGACCCCTCGTCCCCGATCCACATCAACTCGACCTACCCCCCTCCCTTCAAGAACCCTAAGAACCCTAGCATCGACGCCTCGTCGTCGATCAGAAAGCCCCTCAGCCTGTGGCCTGGAATGTTCCACTCCCCCGTTACCACCGCCCTTTGGGAGGCCCGATCGAGCATCTTCGAGAGGCTGCTGGCGAGGACGCCGGCGCAGAGCAGGACCAGCATCGTCTACAATTTCTCCAGGGATTACATCCTGAGGGAGCAGTACAGGGATCCTCTGAATCAGGTCAGGATCGGGAAGCTGCTCGAGGATCTCGACGCCCTCGCCGGCACCATCGCTTTCAAGGTGTCCCATTTTTCTTTCTTTCTTTCTTTCTTTTTTTTTATTAAAAGTAATTTTAAGCTGGACCTCAAATGATCAGATCGTTGGAACTGATACGAAATATAATGATCTTAGAGTTTCCCCCCAACGTGCTAGCCCTGGTTCGGCTAGCGATCAACGATGGATGGTTATTTACCATTTTACCATCACTAAATGCAGTGGCGGATCCAGGAATTTTTTTTTTCTTGGGGGTCCGACGGCAAGTATCTATTTACCGATAAAAATATAATGTTATAAAACCGTAGTACCCAGCGGAAATACACTCTGTACAATTTAAATTGGCTAATTCAGTTTGCTACCAACTTATCTAGTGTTCGAGGGTCTAAGTGATACATCACATGAGTGTTGTTGGGGCCTCCTCTAGAATCCATATAGCCTAGTGGTGATACTGGGATGAACCATTGTCATCACTCATGCCGCAACAAGGACGTCGTGTATTTAAGGTGGGGATTGATTGTGATACCCCAAAAGTTTAGTCCCGCGTCGAACAATGAGGAGAATGTGGGAGGGTTTATGAGATAAGTCATGAGATCCAAGTGCATAAGTGACTAGCCATTTTCTGCGGTGGTTTGAGTCATATAAAATGTTGCACTAGGTGGGTCTCAGGACTTATTGCGCCAATGGGCTCCGGGGCTCGGGGAGTGATAGTTTTTAATTGAATATTAGTTTTTTTAATTCATAATTGTTAATGTGTCCTTCAACAAGTTACAACTACTATTGCTGGAATTACATAATTTGATTTGAAACTGTAGTTATACCCAAAAAAGCAAGCCATGTTCAAAATGCATGTAAGGGAATCATATATTTGATTTTGTGGATGTAATCGATAAAGTCATGAAACCTAACCAAATATGATATAGGGCTCGAGTCTGTAATTCTCTAAAATATGACAACACCTTTTACTTTTAGACTCCATATGACGTAAGCTTAATCACTTTTTTGCCTATTTTGTAATGAAACTAGTGTGTAGAGCTAGAGAACACTAACAGGCCAGGTTCGGCCACGAAGCCACCCTAGACCCGCCCATATTGGTCTAGTTTCTGTACCAGCCAGGTGTGATCCGAGCAGGGGGGGAGGCACTACACCGCCCTCTAGCAATGCAATTCCTAAGTACATTGTAGTATTAGATCCAATAATGAACCCACTATAAAACTAAGCAATCGGTAGTGACCCATTTGTGATTTATTCTTGATGGGCCAAATCTAAAATGACACAAACCCAAAATCCCATTAAATTTTAGCAACTTAGCATCATTTAGAAAAGAAAAAATGGACAAATAAATGGGTGTGGGTCCAACTTGCAGGTTGGTGAAAAGAATCGTCTGCGAAATCGAATGGAAATCAATGGATAAATGGCAATTTAGTAACTTACGTTAAAAATAATGTATTTTGTGGTATTTTGAATGAGATTATAGTTTAATTTGAAAATGTGAATACATGTAGGGGCCAATTGTAATTTTACTTAGTTAAATATACCTTTTGTATCTCATAAAAATTCTTGACATATTGAATATGAGAGAAAAATTATTGTGATACCACTAGTATGAAATCCTGGCTATGCCACTAGATCCGAGCTAGGTTTAGATACGGACTGGACAAAGTCAATTTCTATTATAAGTTAAGCCCCTGTAACCCGCCCTGGAAACCCAGAAAGGACCTAGGATGGGTCAACGCTCGGTTCAAGGGTGGTGGTTATTGGGTTTTAGGCAAGGTCTAGTGGACTGCAGAAATTCAGGTGCATGAAATTGCATCTGAATTTGCTCCAATAATTCGCTTGTTGAGAGTAATAGTGTTTGGGGGGCTTGTTTTTTGGTCAAACTAGCTTTTAAGCTAGCTTTTCCATATCTATCCGTTTGGTAAAATACGAAATAAGTTAACTAAGCCTCATTTTGAAAAGCTGGTATATCTCAACTTTTCAAAAACTAGCTTATAAGCTCACATGAATAAGCTAGGTTTGACTAAAAAAATTACTATTCCATTTAAATGATTTTTATAACACTTTTATCATAAAAGCCAAAAGCCATTGAAACTCAGCATAACTTATAAGCTTCAATAAATGAGCCCCCCTAAACAACCTCTCAAGTATCTGTCAACATGAATATAGGGTTGTACACTTGTACCTAGGAGCACTATGAAGGTGGAATTTCCTGCCAGTATAAAGAACAAAGGGAACGTTTAGTTTCTAAGCTACAACCAATTCCAAGTTCCATTAACTTATGGTATCTGGATTGGCCATTTTGAACTCTGGAAGTTTATGAATCTTTATGTCGACCATTAATTTTGGAACTTGCTAGATATCGCATGTTATGTATATTATTGATCATAATATTAAATATGTTTAATATGCTCAGTAAATATTGTATCATCGATGTGCCCTACATTTACCAAGTTACCATGGTTTGTTTCCACTTTTTGCGTCTGTACTTGTACTATATCCATGTCTGTATAATATAGAAGTGAACTCTCCATTGCCAAAGCCACAGTGTAAGTTCTTAGTTAGAGCGTGAGTCTGGATTTATGCCACTCTGGTCCCTCACATTTCCAATGCAATTGGTGATGAAATTGATATATCTCATCTATTTTAATTTAAATGTTGCAGTGATACTAAAGGTTCTGTTTTTTACTTCTCTTTTGTGTGCCAGCACTGCTCTGATGATGATAGCACAACAAGGCCTCTTCTTCTGGTCACTGCTTGTGTAGATAAGATGGTCCTAAAGAAGCCAATTCGTGTAGATACAGATCTGAAAATAACTGGAGCAGTCACATGGGTTGGCCGCTCATCACTTGATATCCAAATTGAAGTTACTCAGCTAGATGAAGGTATATAGAATACTAATGAATCAATTCTTTGACGGGTCGTAAATTTTATATGTTTTTTCTTTTAAACTACTAGCATGCTGATGTTCTGAACTTTGGCTCTTGGTTGACGTAGTTGTTACATTGCATGCCAGATAACTCGAAAGCATTAGATCCTGTAGCTTTGACTGCAAATTTCACATTTGTTGCACGTGACTCGAAGACTGGAAAGTCTGCTCCTGTGAACCACCTTTCGCCTGAAACTGAACAAGAGAAGTTACTTTATAGCGAAGGTGAAACAAGAGATAGAGTTCGTAAGAAGAAGAGAGAAGAACAGAAAAGAGAATTTGAGAAAGGTGGACATGTTTTCCATGGAAAAGTAGAACGGCTAAAGGCTTTGTTGGCTGAAGGGCGTGTGTTCTGTGATCTGCCTGCTTTAGCCGATAGAGACAGCATTCTTATTAGAGATACCTGTCTTGAAAATGCTCTTATTTGTCAACCTCAGCAAAGGAACATCCACGGGCGCATTTTTGGAGGGTTTTTAATGCAAAGAGCATTTGAACTAGCCTTTTCGACTGCATATGCCTTTGTTGGACAGATGCCTCACTTTCTTGAAGTTGATCATGTTGATTTTTTAAAGCCTGTAAGTGTTAATCTTATTTCCATTGCAATTCTATTGATTTCTTAAGGTTGATTATGTATTTAAGTATCTGTGTTCAAGGATTAAAAGAGAGCAATAATTGTAAACAATTCTTAATTCTTCAGTTTATTAGTTAACACGTCCAGAAAGTTTATGCTTTGATTTATTACTTTTATATACTATCAGGTCCATAAGCTTTTTGTTTCATGAAAATCTATCACGTAGCGGCTAAAATATCTTTTGGGACATTAAAGTTTATCTGTTTCCAATTCCGTAGGTGGATGTTGGAAACTTCCTTCGCTTCAAATCATGTGTTCTGTACACAGAACTTGAGAACCCCGAGCAGCCACTCATCAATGTCGAAGTTGTAGCTCATGTAACAAGGCCTGAACTCCGAACCAGCGAGGTATGCGTATGATACATCAGCTTGAATTCTAATAACTGTAGTCATTATCTAAGTAGATGGTTCATAGTGTTGCACACAACGGGCAAATGTCATGCATTTGCATTCTGTTGGCAGGTATCAAACACATTTTACTTCACATATACAGTCAATCCCAAATCTTTGAAGAATGGTTGGAGGGTTCGCAATGTTGTTCCTGCGACAGAAGAAGAGGCACGGCGTGTAATTGAACGTATGGATGCGGAGAAGAATAACTATTGATTCGTTGTCGTTTGCTGCTCTCATTCTGTGGCATGGCAGCTCTCTAATACCCATGGCACCACATTTCATTCATGTAGAGATTAATATATATGCTAAAATTGGCATTACAGTTGGCATTACAGTGTAATAAAACTCGATTCCTGCAATTAATTGGGAAAAGGAAATATGGAATTATACATATTTAATTTGATTATGTATTTGACTGGGGTTTATAGGAGATTGATGTATAGGTAAGATTAATAATCAGGAATTAAATTATACACTCAATAAGCAATGACTAATAATTTTATTGACTCGGCGGTTTGAATCCATACCTTGGTCATTTTTCAATCTTTCCAATCCAAGACATGCATTTTATTTATTTTCATTATCTTAGCTTTCTTTTCTTAGCTGTAATAAAGATTTACAGGACTATCTTATCAGTTTCAGACTCTTGCTAAGGGCTTGTTTGGTTCGTTTCTTTCATTTTCCAAAAACGATTTTCCTTTACTTTTTTGTGTTGCCTTCACTTTCATGGAAAATATTTTTTTGTTTGTTTCGCCAAAAAAATATGGGATGAAAGTACTTTCCACCATTTTTCTTAGTTTGGTTCAACTTAAAAAAAGAAGAAAACAATTGATGTGTGAATAGATTCTCTTATTTTCTAGTGTTTTGTTCAAACTAAAAAAATCAAGAAAACTTGATTGTGGTCACCATGGTGTGAATACCACTCATATAAGACAAAATACTAACAACAAAAAATGAAGCACACAAAATATAATGTAATGCACTCAATTGGCTGCAAATTCAGAAGGCAAGCACACATTGCCGGAAAATTTAGAAGGCAAACACACAACTCGTCTGAAACCAACTCGACTAAAACCAAACCAACTTTGGCCAAACCAAGTATGAAAATATCCAAAACTGAACCAAGGCTGAAACCGACTAGAGAAAAACCAAGACTCGAACAACCCAAGATTAAAATTAAACCAAAGCTTAACACAATTTATAGATAATGTGCTCAAAAAAGGCCATTTTCTTCATTACCTGCGTCGCCATGAAGTTTATAATAGCAATATTAACTGCATTTATTGCCTCGCCAATTGATTACTAATATAAACTTTGGTTACATACATTATATATCCGGCCATCATCATAGCATAATATCACATTACCAATGACAAAACAACCATTTCAACCAATTAAAACAAATTAGATGAAACCAATTGTTTGCCGAAAATTCATAACTGAAATCAAAGGCCAAGCAACAACTGAAACCAAAGGCCAACCAAAGGTATAAAGCCTAGCAATCTGCCATGAACAATGAGGATGACAACAATGACAGCAAACCAAGTTTGCACCAAACCAAACCAAGTTTGCACCAACATGGAAACAACAACACACTAAGCAACCGAGTTTGCACCAAACCAAACCAAGTTTGCACCAACATGGAAACAACAACACAATAAGCAACCAAGTTTGCACCAACATGGAAACAACAACACAATAAGCAACCATAAAACATAGCAAAGCTGAAACCAAGGCCGAGAGCAAGGTTGGAAATTCAGAAGGCAAGCACACAACTGTGCTCAGGACAGCCCAAGAGCTGAAACCAAGGCCGAAAGCAAGGCTGAAACCAAGGTAATAATAGTATGAACAAAAGAGCATCAATAAGCCATAAGTATACCTGTTGAGACTAACAACCTTTTATACGATAATCTAAAGCCACAAACAGTAGGGTGTCATAGAGAAGCAGCAGTGTATATTTACACTGAACAGAGTGATAATTAAGGAGCAAAATATGTCAAAATAATATAAACAGATAGTGTGATACACTGATATTAAGAGATTGTATCAAATGAACAAATTTATTAATTAATGAGTCACGTCTCTACAACACGTAAGATAACTCAACTAACTTATACAATAAGGTTACCAAATTATTAAGCAAATTGTGGGGAAAAGGGGGGGAAAATGTTATTGATTTTAGCATAAAAATGTAACACAAGATTAACACAAGTTTGAAAATAAACTCGAGCTAGCTAAAGACCGCTATTCACTGAGAAGAAGTGACTGTTATGAAGCATAGGCAAGACCATTGTTCATTAGGGAAATATTTCAAACATAAAGCAAGAACAAGGAACTTTAAAAGGAAAAAAAAAAACATATACTCATAAATTCTCAGTTGCTTATATTTCATAGACAAGTCCACTGAAGTCTTCATTCAATGAGTTAATCAGTATGATGCCTTGACGAGGCTAGAAATTTTGAACTGAAACCAGAGCAAGGCTGGAAATTCAGAACTGAAACCAAAGGCCTAATAATGACTGTAACCAAAGGACACAACTGAAACCAACTTCATAACCAACCCAAGAGCTGAAACCAAGGCCGAGAGCAAAGCTGAAACCATGCACACAATTGAAACAATGGCGGAAGGATTCATTTGTCAAATTACAAGCCATAATAACTAGTCAATATGCGAAAATAGCATTGGCATCACACCTCAACTGAAGCAAATATCATCCTTACTTCCCCAATAGACCAGTTAATTTGTTCTTTATTATGAACAACGTGAAATAAGATGGGACTGAATTTTATTTGTTTAAGAAAACATTATTAGAAAAGAGTCGAGCAGATTTTATTACGAACACACCTCAACTGAATTCGGCTCCGAATTTTATTTGTTTAAGAAAACATTATTAGAAAAGAGCAGATTTTTTCTTGCATTGGCTCCGAATTTTATTTGTTTAAGAAAACATTATTAGAAAAGAGCAGATTTTTTCTTGGTTTTTCTTGCAGAATAGATTCTTATAGTGGCAGAATACACCATAATGTAAGTACGTACGTAGTGATCCTCGACCAGAAAATGAAGCCTAATTTATAATTTAATCCTGTTGGTGAATGGTTGCACTTAAATAAAATGTTTTAATTGCGGATGGAGCTCATGTAGCTCTAATTGTACGGATTTATCCCATGGCTGGACTTTTTTCACTCTTAAAAGAATCTAGAAAATTTTGTAGGGACTGATAGACTCCTATAGCTCTACTGGTGGAAATAGAACCCCGTTTGCTAAAAAAAAAGGAAAAAATGCTTCCAGCCCCAAAAGCGAAGTGAACATGCTGATGTACCAAGAGGAACATGTGAACACCATAATACTCTTCTCTCTCTCTTTCTTTTTTTTATTAAAATATGATGGGGGATTATTTTATTATTTTTGTTTTCTCTCTCTCTTTATCATGATGTACCAAGAGGATAGTTGAAATGATTGATGATGATTATTTTATTATTTTCGTTTTTTATTATTTTGGTTGTTTGTATTGGAAGGTTGTTAAAGTTACGGGTTGATTGTTAAAGTTACGGGTTGATTGTTAAGGTTACGGGTTGGTTGTTAAGGTTAAGGGTTTGTTGTTAAGGTTATGAATCCTCTCTCTCTCTCTTTCTTTTTTTATTAAAATATGATGGAGATTATTTTATTATTTTTGTTTTCTCTCTCTCTTTATCATGATGTACCAAGAGGATAGTTGAAATGATTGATGATGATTATTTTATTATTTTCGTTTTTTATTATTTTGGTTGTTTGTATTGGAAGGTTGTTAAAGTTACGGGTTGATTGTTAAGGTTACGGGTTGGTTGTTAAGGTTAAGGGTTTGTTGTTAAGGTTGTGGATTTGTTGTGTAGGTTACGGATTTGTTGTTAAGGTTACGGGTTTAATTGTTAAGGTTGCGGGTTTAATTGTTAGGGTTACCTATCTAAAGATCCTCTTGGTACATCATGATAGAGAGAGAGAGAGAAAATAATAAAATAATCCCCCATCATATTTTAATAAAAAAAAAGAGAGAGAAGGGTATTATGGTCTTCACATGTTTTAATGTCTTGGGTTTTGTGTTTTGGGGGCTCAGAGAACAAAATCTTTATTTTTAGGGGTAAAACACCCATTGACCAAGTCTTGGGGGGTGGGAAGCACGTTCACTTGGCGTTTGGGGACTGGAAGCATTTTTCCCAAAAAAAAATCTTCTGAAAGTCAAAAAATTCACTAAAGTTTATTAGCACTTGGACAAACAGTACATGGTTCAAAATCGTCTGCGGATAGAGTCTGGCAAAAAAATAGGGGTTGGGTGTGAATGATAAGGACTAAGTCGGACGATCTAAAAGTCCAACGCGTACGATGAACAAGTTGATTTCTTTGTCCAAGTCCGAATGCCAAAAAAAGTACGAAGCCCGCATTTGACCTGAATTATTTATTTATTTACCTGAATGGCTTTAAACAACATAAAATTTTCGTCATCGGAAAAAAGAACAAAAAAATATTTACACAACATTCTTAATAGTTAGTAAGTATCTTGTCACTTTTAAGTCTTAAACTTGAGATACTTTCACTTTTATTTATTGAGCTAGGTAGCTCACGGTAGTCGCTCTCTAATGAGCAGTGTGGACACGCGCGGTTGTTGTTGCCTGCGAAAGCTCAAGTGATTTAGCTAAGTTACTGAATAATTCAATAAATTATTTTAAACGGGCCGGCACGGAACACAGGATGCACAAAATATGCTGATAAATGAGTAATCTTCTTCAAGAATTTGGCTATAAACCAGATATATACTCTTATTCGTCTCCCAACTTTCCCATCTTATTGCCCTCTACGGCTCTACACCAAGATCTTCTCTTGTATAAATTACATAAATATATTATATATATATATAGGTGCAGAACTTACTGAAAATTTGTTACCTCGATTTCTACAAATACAAGAAAAAAAGAATATAAATAACCTGCCATCTGATCTATCTATAGTCAACAAAAAAAAAATTCACAGATCATGTTCATGATGATGACGAACTACTCTCATCATCGGAACTTTCCGCCCTCATTGCTGTAATCTTAGGGAACAACGGCGGCAGTGTTGGGTTCACAGGCACCGGAAACTGACGGGCTGAGCTTGCAATACTTCGTTCGTTGATTTTTCCCACCTCTTTGCAAACCTTATCAAGGATCGACAAGAAATCCCTAACCACCATGAAAATCCTGAAAGGATGAGCTTCTTCCCTCGCTGAATTCCCATGGAAATACTCAGTTATTTCCTTAACCAAAGACAATGCGACACTCTCTTGTGCTTGAACCTTTATGATACCATCCTCAGCCTTCTTCAGGAACTCATTCATCGATTCTTGGAACTGTTTGCTACTGTTATTCAATCTCAACACGTCTGTGATCTTCACGATGCCGCCAGCTAGTTTCGATACATAGCTGCTGAGGACTTCGGAGTCCATGGCAGCAGCCTTTTTGACATTGGCAAGTTCGCTGCTGAGGCCAGCGACAACTTTGAGCCCTAGCTTCTTACACTCGAAGTCACTGTGAAGTATGTTGGTTTGGGTTTTAGCAGAGGATAAGCGGGACCCCTCTGCTCGGATGATTTCCTGAACAACAAAGTGGAGGAGGGTGGTTTTTCCGTCAGTGCCCTTGATGTCGGCGAGCTTGAGGAGGGTGTCAAGCTTGAAGGCATGAGCATCGCCGCGATTTGTTCCAACGTTCATTCGGTTCCCAGTCTTGAGGACTGCCTCTAGAAGCTTAAGGAATAATCTGCTGTTCCTTAACTCCTCACAAGCTGCCTGAGAATTGCAGAAGAATGGTCAAAATTAATCATATTTTTTATTTTTGGTACTATAGAAGTTTGAGTAAATTTTACAAACTCCCTGAATCTTTCAGGGTGTTTTGAACTCCACTGACCTTTATAAATCACAAAAAAACAACCTGAACTTATGAAATTATGTTAACTCCCTTGAACTATTGGAAATTCTAGCAATGGCATTAGCAGGTGCAGAAAACTCTAAACTGTCATTTTTTACTTTTGCATTCAGTTGTCACAATTTAAAAAGTAACCGCCAGTCCGCCATGATACTTAAATAAGACGAATTTAGGTGAGTTTCCTATGATTTGTAAAGTTCAGGAGTTTGGTGGAATTTACATATAAAATTTCTAATACAGTTCATATTGGTAAGCTTTTTCAATCATTTCTGGGGAGTCCAACAGTACATGTGCAATTCTTTGGTACAAAGAAACGACAGTTGCCAGACCAGGCCAAGACAAGTTTCCTATATGCGCCCTTGTTCAGTGATAAAACAAGAGTGAAATAACTGTGGCTTTTATGAGATTTGTTTTACATGCATAGAATAAGAACTGGAGTACATAAACGATTGAACGACTACAAATTTCACATTGTTGTTACAGAAATGTATGACCACTTGCACAATTATAGCTGTAGGTGACGTAAATAAGTACATGAGGCCTTACCCAAGCTTTTCTTCACAAGATAATTTCCTATAAGTTGCTTCTTGCATTTGGAACCTCATGACTGAAAATTGCTAATCAGATATATTGCAGATACTCCATGTTAGGGGTGAGCAAACGGTTGGTTCGTTAGGTTTTGATGATTTCTTGTCAAACCAAACCGAGGTAGATTCAAAACCAAACCTAACCATGTCAAATCAGTTCGGTGCAATTCGGTTTTGTTTGTTAGGTTTGGCCTTAGACATGTAAAGTTAAAAGAATTTTAGCTAAAAGATTACTCCTTCAAACCTTTTACTCATCTCGTATCCCGAACCGAGTAAAACTCTCGTCAACTCAACGACTTTACAAATTAAAATCAAACATTTGTATTTAATATATATAAAAATATTAGTATAATTATCTACTCACCTTGAACAAGCATAAGTTTTAGGTAATTATGTTGAGACCTGTCGGTTTGGTTATTTCAGTTTCAAATAATTTAGAACCGAACCGAACCGCCAAATTTCGGTTGGTTCAGTCACAGTTTATTCGGTTTGCACTGAACTGTGCTCACCCCTACTCCATATAGTAAATTTATATGATATTCGTGAATTTCTCGACTCGTAATCCATAGTCGAAACAAGTTTGACTAGTGTTCATTAACGATCAAAATAAATATATGATGGAACATTATAGAGAAATTTTTAATCAAGATGTTGGACATCTGAAGGAAACTGTTAATACAGTTAAGAAGACAGGCCTGCTGGAACTTCAAAGCATCCAATTAGAAATTTTTAATTTTAAAGCTGCAATCGCAAATTATTTATTCAGCATTGTCAAGACCAAAAAATTGAGCAAACAATATGTCATACTTAGTTTATGTTTATGATTTCAAGTCTAGGCTTCTGAAGCCTTGATCAATGTCCCTTGCATCCTATCCCAAACTAAAAGCATACTTGTTAAGGGATATGTATAATTATATCCAAAGAAGCATATATTAATTAGAGGCAAAATGGGAAATCTAAGAACCGAGAAAAGAATTTACCTCGAGGGTTTCAAAGGAGTTCTTCAAGTAACTGACTTCTGAATCAAAATTGGCAATGTAAAGCATGGCCTCCACTCTCTTAAATGCAAACGGAATATCAATCACAGCCTTGAGAAACTTTTCTGCTGGTCCAAGCTTGACTGGGGAGTCATCTTTGTGCTCTTTCAATTTAAGCTCCTCCTCTTTCGTAGGAGCCATTTTCAGCAGGGTCTCCAAAAGTTCAGTTCCCAAGCTCTCTGTACTACCTGCTTCCAACAATACCTCCTTCATAAATATATTATGAAACAAGATTACACAACATAGAAACAGGTAGACGCTCTGGGGAAACTGTTTACTTAGATAAGATATATTAGTTCACCGATGAAACAAATTAAGAACATAAGTATAAAATACATCAATCTCAGGTTAAGAGTGGCGTGTGGAAAGAAGTTACAGTCTCAATCAAATGGACTACATTCAAAGAAGCAAAGAGGCAAAGTTTTTATAACCTAATCTTTAAAGTAAAGGAAAAGGGTCACTAAAATGCTTATAGTTTACATCCCACATCTGCTACATGCATGAATAATTTATAATTCTCAAAGATACAATTGTGTAGTGGGAGCACATGAAGGTGTAGCTTTAGGTTGACATAGTGCTTGATAATCTCCATAGCACATTAAAAATGGGTGGTCATTTTACTTTTTCTTTTCCTTACTAGCTGTATAGATTGTTTAAATATATTGCCAGCAATATGCTTAAACCCACATATGAAGTTCCAGGCATGTGGGAGCTCTTCAATAGTTGAACTCAACCAGTACGTCTGAAAGAGACCCTCTTAAAAGTCAAAATTATTCCATGAAGACACTTTTTCTGTTTGCATGAAATCTGACCTGATATCTTCTTTTTATCATGAAAATTTATCTGCAAGTATTAGACAAACAAATTGCATGTTGGCAGTGTGAAGAATCTAACTGTATCAATATCTTTATAGCTGGTTGTATATCTTGAATTCAAAATCCAATATAACTTCTTTTAGTAGTTAGAACTGATTTAAAAATTATATATGAATTCCTGTACAGAGTTTTGGAGCAAATTGGAGCAGGATAAACTGAAAATTAGATAATCCTGCCACTTAATAACATTAAAACACGCTCAAAACAAGCAACCAACATCATTTTCTTCTTGATTTTTACTTATGTCCGTTCATCACTCATGTGGATTATTATGTTTGCGAATCAAGTAAATTTTTACCATTGTGCACTAGGTCTGAGTATCAACTGCAATAATAGACAAGACCCTCACACACTTAACCCAAAATGAACTCAGCATTTGACTTTCCCAAGCTTCATTTTGACAGTAGCTCAGAAGATTGAGCATGAAAATTACAATATGGTCTAATGTGCTTGAAAATTTCAACGAATGCAATTCAACAATTCAATCTTCTTAATGGATTCGAGAAATAGTGGTACTTCAAAGACGACTAGAAGATGCTGGTAGATACTCGAGAGAATTTAGGTGCATTTGACAACATGCAGATGGGAAGTTCCAAGTACGTAGAATTAGTTCCTCTAGTTTTAGCGTCAGGTTATGCCGGATGGATTTCATAGACACTTAAACCAATTGTAATGGAAAATTTCCGGTTTGAGATGTGCCATGAATCAATACTTGATTGCTATCTCAACCATGTAAATGTGAAAGTACGTATCTATATTTCTCGTATAATTTAGAGATAGAGAGCAGAGTGGCAAATTTCCTCGTAGAGAGAACTTCACAAGATAAGAAGAAAACAAGCATGCGTAAGTAAGCAGTTACTAGCTCCACATCAAACAAAGAACACATATTGCCACGTTTTGGCATAGAGTTTCAAACAATTCAGAGGGTTACTAAACACAGCAATATATAATACAACTCTTAAAATGATCAAAATTTTCAAAACTCCTCACCTTCCAGAAGAGCTTCACAGACCTCCTCCTTGGTCACATTCAATGCCCTCAACAAAATAGCAATGTTTTGCGATTTCTTCGGATCAAGAACCCTGTTCTCCAACTTCGGCGATGGAATCGCTGGTGGTACCTTCTTCTTCTCCTTCGGAGCTGCATTCTCAGTGTTACACCCAAAAAGTGTCTCGATCATCTCCTCGTTCAATCTTTTTCCAATAAGAATCAAGAAAATAATAAATATCCCTAAATTATCCCCAAAATTCAAAATCAGTGGGGAAAAAAAAACCTACTTGAATGAGCTTGATTTCAGCTGATCCCACACCATTGCTCGATCCGAGCTCGCTCTGACCTTATCCCAATGCAAAGGCTTCAACTTTGGCCTCGGCGTCTCGTCGTTCTTCTCTAACGAATCCGAATCCTCCATGAAATCAACAGGTGGACCCTTCAATGCGACAGATTTTGGTGTCGTAACGGCCGGACGTTTTCGAACTTGTTCTGCTCCCAATATCCAACCGGAGGCGGAGGGCGGAGGCGGAGGCGGAGGCGGAGGAGCAGCAGCCGTGGCGCTTGTTCTTGAATTTCCGCTCCGATTGGTTGAATCTCGCCGGAGTATCTAACAGAAGCCTCTGGATCCTTTCGCAACCGGCGACAGCGGCGGGATGAGACGGCGGCCTTCGCGCTTCGGCCGCGAAAGGAGTCATCCGGCCTAATCGCGGGGCGGAGAGGAGGCGGCGCCCGGCGCGGAGGAGTCGCAGGTCTCGGGTCCTTCGGCCGGGCTCGATCTCGATCGGCGACGCAGTCGATCCGAGGCCCAGACGCGTTCGAATCCGGGTACGAACTGAGAGCTCAGATCGAGCCCGCGAGAGCCGCATTTAATCGCAAACCGCTCCGAAATCCTGCGTGCAAGCTGGATCCAGTGGCTCGTGGCGCGCATTGCTTCCGACCCCTTAGGAGAGTAGAAGCTCCGTCCGTCGGAGTCAGTGCATTTTCCGTAATTAGGCCTGGGTTTCGGGACAGAAAGCGGAGCGGCCTGACTGCGGGCGAGCCAGGCTTGCGGTACGGCGACGGGCGGGAGTTCGCCGAGCGCCGACGGTTTGACGGTTTGAACAGTTCGAGTCGAAGAGAATTCAACGGCCGTAGCGAGGTAGAGGAAGCCGGCGGAGGCGGCGGGGGGAGGAGGAGGAGGAGGAGGAGGAGGAGGGGCCGCGGAGACGCGGCGGGGGGAGGGAAAGAAGGCGCTTGGCGGTTCCGGGCTTGGAGGGGCGCGGGGTCGCGGGGGAGCTGCTGCTGCGGCGTCTCGGCGGCGGGGAAGAGGAAGGAGAGGGAGAGGATGAGGAGGGAGAGGGCGATGAGGGAGAAGAGGACGAAGAGGAGGAGATGTGGAGTGGGGGTGGGGGGCAGAATGGGAAGAGGAGGGGTTGGGGTGAAGGTGAGGGGGAGATGTTGGCGGGGATGGTGGGGTTCGGGCGGAGGAGAGAGGAGGAGGAGGAGAGGAGGGAGGGGTACTCCGGAAGAAGGGGGGCCGGGGTTGGAGGGAAAGGGTATTTCCGGGAAGGGAGGGGAGGGGGTCGGGTGGGTTGAGGGGTTGCGGGCCGGGAGAGGGGCTGTGGAGGGTTCCTCCTGTTTTGTACATTTGTCGAGAGGCAGCGGTGCTGGGTTGTGGCGAGGGCGGAGAGGGAGGAGAGAGAGGGAGAGGGGAGAAAAGAGTGGTGGCTGGCGATTTTTTGATATTTATTAATTGCGTTTTGTTTGTATCGTTTCGTTATCGTTTTGGGGATTTGGACAGTTTCTACGTGGAGATGGGGAGAGTCTGATTAAAATAAGCGATTGATTGCGTATAATAATGTGTTGGTTATTGAGTAAGTGATGCGCAGAGTGGAACTATTTTGGGAAGTTGTTTTTTTTTTTTCTTTTTTTTCCGAGAGTGAGAATGAAGGGGGGGGGGGGGGGGGTGAGGACGAGAGGCGGAGAAGTCGACTCCTGATTTGGGATTAATTGCATGTAATAAATCCCTTGTAATATGTAGTTACAAATTAGTCCCTCGAATCTTAACATTTGCTCGTTAGTCCCTTCAATACGCAATTTCATTGTGATTTCGTTCCTCCGTTAGCTTTTTTTGTCATTCTAATTCTAACCACGATCGGATTAATCCTTAACCCAACATCCGTAATTACTTAAATACCCCTTTTAGCGTATGTTCCCCTCTCAAAGCAATCCAATTTAGAGAATTTACAGGATTTAGAGAGAATATTGTCATGGGAAAAGCTCTGAAATGGATTTGAGAGTGCCCCTGACCATGGGAGAAGAAGAACGTTTTGGGATCCGGGGCTCTAGGATAAGCGGGTTGTGGGTTTACACCTGCTAAAAAAACGGGTTTGTGAATTTTAAATGAGTATGTAACGGGCAAATCCTCTCATTCCATTAAATATGATGGAATACTCCCCTCGAAACTCGTGTTACTAAACTAGATGGACAAAATTGCAAGTGGCATATAGATTTGAGGGAGTAATGAGCAAATAGTGAGATATCAGGGATCAATTTGTAATTATAGATGATGTGAGGGACTAATATGCAATTAACCCTTTTGATTTTTAGGAAGGAGAGAAGAAAACAAGAAGATAACATTTTGGATGGGGCTAGAAGGCAAATATAAAGGAGATAGGGTTTGAAAAGTGAATCAATTCGCATAGGAGCGTGGACAGCAAGCTGCGAGTCCGAGTACGAATTTTATCTGAACATCATCAGTTCATCATGCTGCATCCAGCTTCACGTAAGTGTATGATTAACATGCGTAATTAGTTGAGACGTAAAATGCCTTGCAACATAATATGGTTTTTAACTTTAAATAATCATATAATATGCTTGTCTCTAACGCTTGTCACTTATTATTGTATATATTATTCTGAAAGCATTTATCGAGCGGTTAGGTATCTCAAAATTGCCTGATTCTTTCACTTTTATGTTTTTGGGAGTTGAGAATCAAGATCAACAATTTGGATCATTTTTTGAACTAGTCTCTTAAATCTTCGTATTTTATTGAAATTGGTCCCCAAAATCTTTATATTTTGAAATTTGTCCTAAATATGTAAAATATTTTGATATTAGTTCCCCAAAGCTTTCAACCAGCTGCTAACTAGATGGACTAATTTCAGAACAATTAAATAATTTGAAGGACTAATTTCAAAATTTTAAATATTTTAGGACTAATTTCAACAAAATACGAAGATTTGAGGGAATAATTTCACAATGAAATCGGGGAGACTAATTCGAGGAAATCCTAGTAGTTATTCATCCATCTTTCACATCGAGACATCGTTGAATATTAGCCTAAATTTTAAGGATTCATATCTTCTCTATTATCAAAATTGTAGTAGAGCGATCACTATTTTCTAACGTTATTGATGTTATGTGATCACACAGACAATTGTATTTGTGGTTGGATGAGGTTGTTTGAAATTGATGAGGGCCCCTTCCTTCTCAGACTTTATATCTGGTTCTGAATTGGGTGACTGAAAAGTCTGCACAAATAGAAACTCGTGAGAGGATGGGGCTTGGTTCCCCCGTGGTTCCTCCGATGATCAAGTCAGCTTGTGAGCTTGAGTGGGGAAAGTGAAGAACTGTGAGAGTTCTTGTGTGTGCAGTAATTTGCAGATCTATATCAGAAGATTAGATTCAATTACCTTGGTATCTAGAATAGTATCACTTTTTATACTGATAGAAAAAGGGTAGAATGCTCACTCCGCCGAGCAAAGTAAGGCGGCAAATGAGCATGTGCTGACGGCTGAGTCAACACCTATTTTACAGGTGTCAGCTGACGACTGGAGGAGTGATCATCTCAACATTAAATGGGAAGTGATCAGAGGCATAACGGTGCCGACGTGGTCCGATGAACTATTAAGACTATTGGGGCTAGAGGCATGATGGCACCTGCCAAGCATTAATTGCGATGTCGACGTTGTCAGTGGGGAAGCTCGAGGTCGAAGTCATTTAGCTTCGTCGAGAAGTAACGCCTTTCGAGTCGTCATCGTGAGGCGTCGAATAACAGGTCGAGTGGGCTCGACGAGTCGGCTAAGTTGGAACTCTTGTTGGTCTTGGGCCGCCAATTTGATTGGGGACTTGCATGCATAAGTGCACATGTTCGTAGCTAGCAAAAGAGTTTGTACTTAGGTGATTGGAAACACCATAACAAACGTTCATTGCTTAGTTTAAAGAAAGTTATAGTTTTTTTTTTTGAGTGAAAATTAGAAATGAGCGCAATTCATAGGATATAATGAACATTAAATTTAAAATAAATTATAATTATCAACTTGATAATTAACTACCGTTATTAAAAATAATGGTGCATCCACTAATATTTGGCAGGGTTGAGTGTCCAAATTCAAGTTTAAATGAGGTAATAACACCTTGAGCCAGAATCGCCAAATGAGTAAAACTTATAAAAAGAAGGGTGAACTCATGAAGTCAGCCTTTGCGGACATTATCTTTTTACACGGATTGCTGTAATAAATGCCTCGGTCCGAGAGTGACGTCACAAGGGGGACAAAGGATGCATGAACTAGCGATTTCTTCACTGAGTGAGAGATAGAGGCTTACGTGACGTCATCTCTAACCTATCACACAAAAATGTTATAAATTTTGTACGAACCCATCGTACCAAAATAGTATAAATTGTGCACCAAAATGGTGTAAAAGTCACATCAAACAGTAATTCATCTCCAATCTACTACACTATTTTTTGCACCAAAAAATGATATTCTCTGTATATTCTTTTTTATCTACTTTTATATTATTATTTTTTATTCCATATATTTTTAACTATTTCAATAATTAACCGTACATATTACATTTTATTTTTTTCACATATTTTTCAAACATAATGATTTATTATTTAAAAAATTAAACTACTAAAACAATAAAATATTATTTTATTAATTAAAAAAACTTGATTGGTAAAATATTATAAAATATTACAATAAATATTATTTTATTAATTAAGATTATTGGGGTAAAATTATAAAATAATATTTTATTATTTTTATTATTGATATTGTCAAAATATTAAATTTAAGAACACAACAAAAAATAAAATATGGTAAAAAAATGGCGTGATGAACAGTAATAGCGTGATGAACAGTGCGACGCTATATTTGACGTCGCACTGTTCTTTTTCACCAAAATGATGCGGGAAATGGGGCATGGATGGAGAAGGAATAATCTTGTTGTACCAAAATGACGCGAAAAATGGAGCATGGTTGGAGATGCTTTTAGGGGGTGTTTGTTTTGATTTTTTTTTTGGGATTTCAAAATGGGATTTGAAATCCATAAATGATGTGGCTTTTAGGATTTGAAATCCATAAAGGGGGTTGTGTTTGCTTCAACAATATTTTGGGATTTGGAATGCTAAAACTTGTAATATTTTGTTTGTTTCATCAATATTTTGGGATTTGGAATACTATAAATTATATATTATAATATTATATAAAATTTTAATAACATATATTATATAATATATAATATATATATATATAATATTATAGATATATTATATATTTTATATATAATATATAATATATATTGTAATATATAAATTATATATTATTTTATATAATTTATATTATATATATATATTATATTATTTATATATTATTTATATATATAATATAAAT